TCATTTTCAATTGTCATATATATTGTAAAAAAATATATTTATAATTTTTTTACTAAACTTTTATATTTAAAAATCACATTAAATATCAATAAATCTAGAATCAGATCAAACTTTATAAGAGAAAAATTTGAGAGGCTTTAATATATTCAAGCAAGAGTCACAAACAATTCTTAACCCACGGTCAAAATGGGCATGCAACTGATATCCGAGTGCAGACAAACACAATCGATCAGAACAAGCCCAATGCTCTCAGGCCTGTTACTGTGTCACAGGCGCATCAGTACAAAGACAAGGATGAGGGCCGTGGCCCATGGCTGTTATTTCGAGCTTCTTGTCCGAAGGAATTATCTTGTCGCTATTTTCATGGACCTTCGTCCCCTTCCGTTTTCAGTCAATGGTGAGGTCAATTCCGTCATTCAATGTTTCACCCTCGCTAGAATAATTACCGCTTCCTAGATCTAGGTTTTCCTTTTCTTCCCCTTCCCTCTCTTTTTTCGTTTTTTCTCTTCAGATTTGTTCAAATTTTTTCTTCGCAAGAAGCTTAAAGGTACAATTTACTCTCCTGCCTCATTGTTCTATTTTATGGGTGTCTCAAAACCCTAATCCTGTTAAATTTTGCAGAAGAACAGAATGGGTGAGATTAAGGATAACGATGCATACGAGGAAGAGCTTCTCGATTACGAAGAAGAAGACGAGAAGGCCCTCGATTCCGTCCACGCCAAAGGGGCAGAGTCTGCCAAAAAGTCTGTATCTTTCTATTAAGTAATATGTTGTGGATTCAATGTTTGACCTGTAAATATTTTTGAAATATGAAATATTGTCTTTTGTAAATGTATGAGTAATGAGATAATAACAGGAACTATAAATAGATAAGAGTGCATGTAATTGATTGGGATTTAGTGTTTTATTGGTTCAAGATGTCTGATTGTCTTTAGGTGTTATGCTTTGTAGGGGCTACGTTGGGATTCACAGTTCGGGATTCCGAGACTTCCTCTTGAAGCCAGAACTTCTTCGGGCAATCGTGGATTCGGGATTTGAGCATCCTTCAGAAGGCAAACTCTCTGACTTACTGTCTTTTATTGTCATGTGTCTTGGAGTAGGATCAGTTTTTTTGCAATTCCTTTTTCGCTGTTTTTTTTTCTTTCTTTGAGTAAGTTAACGTTAGTGTCCAGCAATTGAATACTTTGCATGGTTTATCATTCTTGAAATTGTGCCCCTGAAGTCAAGTATTAGCATCACTTGACCTTGACTGCTAGGCTGCTTGCTAGCAGCAGTTGTTGGGGGGCAGCCCCGTCCTCCATGGATGAATAGTTGAATTCTACAAATTGGTGAATTTGGACCATTCTTGAAATTGTATTAATCTATTTGTCATGTTTTACTGCATGCTAGTGTTTTCCATAGGTTTTTCTCCGACTATCATTTATATCTCATTTTTATGACCTTAATGTATGGTTCATTTCATTGGGTTTGTCTTTCTTGTGCTACTGTACCATTCTGGTCTGGTAGGCTGGCATGCAATTTTGTTTTGTTCTATATATATATATATTCATTGCCTATGATTAGATTTTGATGTCTTTTGCTTTGCTAGTTAACTTTCATTTAACCTTGTATTGTTTATTAGTTCTGGGTTGCTTGTAGTTTGTCTTTGACATGTTTAAGGTTACACATTACAGGTAATCGTTACTTGTATATTCATCAACTGGTTTTGGTAAACCTTTCCATTAAATGGATCTTGAAGCTCATTTCTAACTTACTGAGGATTCGTACGCTACAATTTTGTTTCCTTCGCCAGTGCAACATGAGTGTATTCCTCAGGCAATTCTAGGTATGGATGTCATCTGCCAAGCAAAATCTGGGATGGGGAAAACTGCTGTCTTTGTTCTATCAACTCTTCAGCAAATTGAGCCAGTTTCTGGTCAAGTTGCTGCTCTCATTCTTTGCCACACGAGAGAGTTAGCTTATCAGGTATGCCATAGTTTAGAAAATTGAATGTGTAGTTGACTTCTCTTGCAATTTCATTGGTCGTATAATGCAAGTTAACAAATTTCAACCATGCTTTCCTTCTTTCTAAATGCCTTTTACTCCTTGCTTTCCCAGATTTGCCA